ACCTAACTGCTGAAGGCAAACTCACACAATTCAAAACCTGCGCAACTCGCCCCTGTCATAGTTCAGGCAGTGTACTGGGTCCCCTTCTCCTCACTTGACACGTCAATGACGTTTTCATCCGCTATACGCACGGTAAGTCATTCTTGTTTTCTGACAACCTAAAAGTCGTATACACATTCTTCCATTCTGATTTGTTCCACTTCCAGGCATCAGCACGCAGGGAGCTAGATGTAGTATTCACATGGTCTACTGCTTAGGAACTTGAGTTTAGGACAAACAAATGTGGCTGGATACGCTCTGGTGCCCCATCAGCAGACGTCCAACCATACCTTCAGCCTGTGAAATTTCCTCTTGTCAAAAGTGTCTGTGGCCCTGGGCTGAGATATTCTAGTGGACTCGCATTTTCTGAACAGGTCACATCACAGGCTCATAAATCTGGGATCTCAACGGGTTGCATAGTCACTAACTTTCACCTCAAAATGCCAACCTCCTGCTTCGTAAAACTTGCTTACGTCCACCATTACAGTGTTGTGTATTAATATTGAGTGACACCCTCATTAGAGACAGAGTGAAAATAGGGAGTGTTCAAAAGTATTCTACGGCTAGGTTAATGGGATATGAATGCATACAGGACTACAGCCTTGATGGCAGGGCCCTTAGCCTAGAACCGCTTTATATGAAACGACTCAAAGTTGACCTGAATCTCTCCTTCAGTGAGCCTTAACGCCTGGCCTTCACACTCAGTGGTGAATATCAGTTTGAGCACAGCATTTGCTGGGCTCGAAGCAACCATGTCTACAGCGTTGCAACGAATTAAGAGATAGAAATGCCTAGACGAATAAAGCTAGGACAAACATGCATCCCGAGATAGAAAAGATGGGAGCTGCTCACGACAACCGGCTTTTGTTCAGATCTCTGACAGTTGCTGTTTGCTGCGGGTATCACAATCAAACGGGAGTTGCACTTCCGATTAGCTATTGCAGCGTCACACACTTCCCCAAAACCAATAGCCTAGGGTTCGGCGAAACTCAACAATGATGCTGACCTTGATAGTTTAACTAGACTCGCTAAGCTGAAGGCACCCGGTCAAGCATCCTCGCCATTTGGCACGCTGTCGTGTTGCGTTTCACTGCTCGTATTCGACCCTCTAGCCAGTTAGTTGGAACGCATCGGTATCTTGGCACAACCATCCAAATATACTATTCCATCCGACTACGCTATCGTGTTCTTCCTTGGTCTCGTATTCGTGGGTATATAACAAGTTGGAATAATTGGTGATTGGTCTTCGCGTCTGTCAAGTTCGCACCAGGACAAATCCTAAATTGGCGAGCCCGGCGTGATCACATATCCCGACCAATAACAAATATTGAATTGGTGAGCCTGTTCCATTTTATATTTGCACATCGTTTTCATTTCGATAACATTTATACATCCATTTACTACACTTTCTCATGTCCGACCACACTCCCAAGCTTATTCGTATTAAGCCGACTACGAACACGATCCAACTCGTGCCATATTGGCCAGACAATGTGGAAACATGGTTTCTGTAGACCGAGGCAGATTTCGAGAACAGGTCGTCTCAGATCCTCACTCTCGATTTCGTGCCGTCACTCGTTCACTACCACAGCAATTAAACAGGCATGTTATAGCACACATGTTTAATCCTGAAGTAAGTGATCTTTACGCTCTTCTCAAGGCCGCACTTTTGAAGAAAAGCGCCTAAACGAATTACTTCGTAGCACCGAGCTAGGCAGCCACTCAGCTACTGAAGTCCTCTCACGCATGCGAGAAGTTATCCGCGCACAAACATCCGTCAGTGGCCTTTTACGAGAACTGCTTCTCTCGAAACTACCACAACTGGTGCAAACCGTGTTGGTGAAACCGCAGTCAGTCCCGCTTGATGACCTGGCAGCCTCGGCAGATGAAGTACTGGAGATCCCTAGCAGACCCGTCTCGAACGTATATTCTATCTGCGACAAACCAGAGAGCCAGGATTCAGAGGTGACGAAGCCGTGCAACTCCGTTGGACAATTGCTACGATCTCGAAGTCCTAGTTCACGTTGCACCCCATAGAAACGCATCTTAGTGCATCTCAGCGAATCACGTGGTTGCCCCAAAACTAAACCTAACAGTGTAGAAAACCCGAAATGGTGTTGGTTTCATAATACTTATGGAGACGAAGCCAGAAAATATCGGAAACTTCGCAGTTATAACAAGGACGCAAACTCGGGAAACGGACACGCCGACACGTGTTCACGGCAACCGTAGCCGGCGGAAACAGCCATTCGCTCTGTGTCACGGATACTAAAACGAAGGTTCACCACCTCATCGACACCGGTGCAAAAGTTAGCGTTCTTCCCGCACCGACAAAGGTGCGTCATTATGACCTATCCTTCAATCTCCAAGCAGCTAACGGCAAGGCAATCGTGACGCTTGGGAGACAGTATGCCTACCTCAACTTGGGCTCATGCAGACCCATTCACTGGATTTCCCTCCTGACTGACATCTCTACGCCCATCATTGGCATAGATTTGCTAAAGCATTACGATCTACTCGTAGATGCTTGCCGTCGATATCTGATTGATAACGGCACAAAGTTATCTATTGGCGGCACCACCTATGTAGGTCCGAGTTTAGCCCTCGTTACAACCAAACAATAAGGCGACGCGTCCTACCAAGCAGTTTTGGAGAAATATCCAGAGTTGTAGAAACCGAAGTACACTCTTATGTGCATAACCAGCAATGTTACACATCACGCGACAACCACATGTCCACCTGTGGCATCCAAAGCACGCCGTCTAGCCCCCGATAAGCTCAAAACGGCGAAAAGCGAATTCAACCACATGCTCGAACTAGGCATTATTAAACCGTCAAACAGTCCTTGGGCATCACCATTGCGTATGGATTCCAAAAAGGATAGCAACGACTGGCGTCCAACCGGTTATTACCGAAGGCTTAATGCCAAGACAACACCGGTGGATAGTCCAATTATCGAAATTCAGGACGATGTGCCTGGTAATGCATAGTTACAACAACCATCGGCGCAACAGAAAACAAGATCAGGTCGAACCGTCAGGTTCTCAGAGTATTTGAAGTCGTATTCAACTTAGTGGTGTGAAATAAGACGTTCCAACCATCTTTTTTTTACTGGCAAATTTTTTTCCTGGGTACTATTTTTCTTATTTACCGGCAATGTGAAACTCCTCGTACATTTTCCCCTTTAATGTCAATTTTTATTACCATGTAATGAAACTTTTTTTTAAAAAGACGGTGAAGATGGGGGTAAACTTGATTTTCGATATATTTGTACATACATAAATCCCACTCTTTCGAGGCGTTTTCGTGGTATTAAAGACTTTTATTTATATTCCAGGTGCAACGAGCACTAGACGGAACGTCAGAGGAGACTGAGGATTGCGATTGACGTACGATTCGATTTATTGTATTTTATTTTACACTTTCCATGACACCCTGGAATAATTTCAGACAACCAAGGGCCACTTCACGCAATGAGCCCATCGGAAGAGTTTTACCAGTGGTGAAACCATCGGGTCTCTACTTCCGGCTGGTGTCGTCTTAGGGTCTTCACGAACCCATTAGGAGGGAAGTGATTTGTAGTGTCACACACTTCCCCAAAACCAATAGCCTAGGGTTCGGCGAAACTCAACAATGATGCTGACCTTGATAGTTTAACTAGACTCGCTAAGCTGAAGGCACCCGGTCAAGCATCCTCGCCATTTGGCACGCTGTCGTGTTGCGTTTCACTGCTCGTATTCGACCCTCTAGCCAGTTAGTTGGAACGCATCGGTATCTTGGCACAACCATCCAAATATACTATTCCATCCGACTACGCTATCGTGTTCTTCCTTGGTCTCGTATTCGTGGGTATATAACAAGTTGGAATAATTGGTGATTGGTCTTCGCGTCTGTCAAGTTCGCACCAGGACAAATCCTAAACTACCGAAGTTGGAAATAATCCATTCACATGTGTTATTTGCTTTGGTTTTCGCTCAACAGAATGTTCACAATCACATTAGATAGCAATCATTACCAGAAGGATTCCAGCTGTCGCTAGAAGTTGTACTAATTCATGCCAACGTTAAGAAAATAGCAGTCGAGTACTCCTATAATTGACATTTACACAACAAAACTTCGAAAGGTTTCATGAGCATTAATCTTCTGTATGTGGTCTTTATATGAATTAATTTCCAACTATAGCAAGTCGCATCCATATCTCACCACATGAGGGTTATTTGGCTATGTAAAACGCTGGGCATGTAGACCCAAAAACTATTGTTAATTCCAACAAATAAGGAAGCAGTTTCCAAGCCACCGACTACATAACCAATGACACTGTGTGAATTCTGCACGTAACGCTACGAGATAAGGCACGAGGCGAATACGTACCACAGCTATCTCTTACACGCAACTCAGGAAACTGAGGTTACGGGAAACCCGATGCATACTAAACCAACGCGGGAGTGCAAGACAGACAAGCCTTTTGGTCACAAGGGAGTTGAGCAAAGGTTGAGACAGCGATTAGCTAGCACTTGGTTACTCTATGGATATTGCAGGACTTAGAAACAGAAAAAAGCACATGCTGTTTATATGAACTTCACAACATGTAACCTGAGTTCGTGCGACGAACAAGTCATTACATTGACCTTAACTTCAGTTATTAAATAAGATTAATGCGTGCCTTTGCACCTGTGCACTAACGTACCATCATAGCTTGAAGTCTAGCACCGGTTACACACACCAAACTTTATAGCTTTGTGTTCAAAAGTTATCCGTCGCGGTAGTTTGATAATAACCACTATAGAACATTATGCTTTATCTTTGCGTTGCCAGAATTTATGGCATTCGAATTTCCTTGAAACAAGCATATAAAGGCAGTGGCATACCCTAAAAGTGACAGTTTGAAACACATGTATGGATATCGGGTATTGATAAGTTATGTGTTGGGAAGCGGTTGTTTCATCATTGACGTCACTTTGATGGGTCGTTCCCGCAGTAGATCGCTTTCCAGTGGTCATAAGTCTAAGCACAGACGGTACCGCAGTCGTTCACGTGATCGAATTAAAGAGCGTGACAGATATAGAGATAAGGAACGTGAGAGAGTGAAGCCAAGGGGAAGTGAAAGATCATATCGTGACCATCATCGTCATGACAGGCGACGCAGGTTTTTTTGACGTTTTCTTAATATCTTCTAGGAAAAGGAGCTCATCAGCCTCAAGCTATGGCAGTGAAGTAGAAAGAAGAAATCGGAAGTCCAGGATGAAGGAAATTGACCGGAAAATAGAAGAGGCACGCAGGAGAGAAGAGACTGAAAAGCGTGCTCAAGAGCAACGAGAAAAGTAGTTCCTACATTATCCCACCGTTTAGAATAAAAGTTAATGTTTTATTCCTCTGATGGGGTAATTTGTTATTTTTACGGATTTTTTAAAGTCACTACTCAATGACATTTTTTTCGGAAACGGCTAGGTGCAATTGAGAATCAGTCATACAATAGGCTTATCAGTAAGGGCTTGCCAATACAAGGAATTTTTCTCATTTTTAAACTCTACAAGCGTTTATGCAGTTGATTTGGAAGGCAAAACCCTAAAGACCCAATATTCCAAGACAGAAATAAAGTGTCATGGTGACTTATCAGTTGCTGATTTATAATGTAGGTGATAAACGCAACACATACGCGAGTTCTTTGTGCTACGTGGTTGCCAAAATGCAACGTGTTCATGAGAGTTTGAGCTGTTGGCACGCTGGTTTGAAGCCCTGGGCATAAAGCCAGCAACATCCAGCACTGCAACCATCATCGTTTGATACACTTACCGAGCGTTTAGGAAGTTTTTTTACTTAAGTTGGAATTGTCTACTTGTTAGTTTTAAAGTTTAGTTTTCCGGTATTTGTGGATATATTCATACTTTTCGGCACTCAGCAGCAAGATTTATCAGCAACTCTAGGGAAAGTCATTACTGAGAGATTAAGACATGTCTATCTTTGGCTATGTCAAGAATCCTAACATTTAGCCGTGATTGCTACAAACACATTGAAGTACGGGTTTTCTGAATATTAAGCAGCATCTGTTTATTGATGTTTTTCACATGGATGACTTGAAAACTTATCAAATCTTGCCATTTCTCTTGACATATTCCACTTGGGCTTGATGTTTTCAGTCAGCAGTCGTGTCTACTTTTGATGGATGTGCACGGAGATGCATTGATTATACGGTTCTTAACGTAATCACTTTGTGTGACTATATAAAACATTTGATTTAGTATAAGTCAGAAATATCCAAGTAACTAATTTCGATTCTGAAGAGCAAATATCACGGGTCGTTTAATCGTGAAGTTTTCATCGTCTTTCTGGTCGACATCATCGGCAATAACTTCATACAACCCAGCTCAGAGAACACAATACAACCAAGACTATCTACCTGAGCTACAAATATTCTCCATTATTTCAAGAAGAGCAATATAGCTTTCACTTAATCGTGTGAAAAATCACTCAGTGATATTTTTAAAAACACTAACTTCTGTATGTCACAGTGAATCTGCGAAACGTAATGCTATTTTGGTTTTGTGTTATCTGAACTGGATGGTTTGATCGTAAAGCTTTCATTATCATTCTAGATATCACAAAGAAGTGAGCTATGAGACTTTTTCCACAAGTGACTTAGTAGGTTGTCTTAATGACCGGGTGTAATTGCTTGTTTCTGCTAAAATCTTGTCGGTCTCCATACGTATTTATGTTAACTGCCCAGCTGGTGTAACCTTTGACCTTCTTGTTGTTGCTTTTTATTTATTTGGTTGGTAGATTGGGTCAGTGTCATTATGTCTGTTAATCATTCACTAACCTGAGTACCACGTTTCTATGAATTCTCTGGCATTCTTCGGATTTCTGTCTAGAATTTCCACATTTCCCCAGTCCAATTCATGTCCACAATTTTATGCATCTATTGATATGAGCCAATGATATGTCATGATACTTTACTGCTAGTTGATTTTCATTTAGATGGATACGAAGAAGGCATTGATTTTCTCAGGGTATTGCATAAGACTGGTGTATTCCTCAAAAAGACTTACTTTGGTACATGTCAACTGTAATCTCTCACCAAAGTAAGTGGTTATCATCCGGACTTTCTGTTTCAACTAGCATCTCTACAATAAATGCAGATTAGTGGTTTTTAACACTTGTCACTTGCCTCTTTCATCTAAGGGAGAAGCGATTGCACGAAGAACGTGAACGGGAAGCAGAACAAGCTAGACAGTTGGAAGCTCGAGTCAAGGAGGCTTTTGAAGCTGCTCTGATAGACAGAGCTGAGGATCTACAGGCTGAGTTAGAGAGAAGATACCAAGCAGAATTGATCGAAGAGTAAAACAAAAGCTTGATGAAATAGAACGGGATTATCAGAGCAAACTGGAGGAACAGAGACGCATGGAGGTAATATGATTTTTTATGTTATCTACAGGGTTTTCCTGTTGTATATAACTTCATGTTTCTAAAAGATCTAAAGGCTAAGCCTTTCCGCATTTTAGTTGTGTATTACACATTTTGTTACATCGAGGCACTCTCTGTAGTTCTAGTTGTGGTTGGAAATTCAATCCATATCCTTATAACCATTAAAAATTGGTTAACGATAAATGAATTCGTTGCTGGCAGCTATGATTATTTAATCTTCATTTCTATACAGATATCATGCAATCAAATTGCTTTCGCTTCTTGGTCGTCGTTGACTATCCTACCTCTGTTGTGCCGACTCCCTAATCTTCCGTGAAGCTCACATCTAAAATATAGGTAGATTAAATGTCTTTGCAGTGATCAAAAATAATTATGGCTTAATGGTGGCGAAAATTAACTTAGATGTGATTGAAACTCATCAAACAGATTGATCAGATTAAGGCTATGGTTATGGCGATACTGAATGAAAATGGGGAGGTAGTAGTGCGTTGTGGAGATGGACTGAAAATTACGACCTGATTCAGACGATCTCTTATCGGTCATCTAATTATCACTTAAACTTGGTCAGCATCGAAACTAGGTGTGTTCACAACCGAAAAGGTTATGAGAAAAATAAAGGGATAAGAGGCTGCTCTATATGTGTTACATTGTGAAACTTGTAAGAGTCGTTGTTCCCAGTTTCTAGTTGGACTTTCCAAAATGTGGTATACCGTGAATTCAAGCGAAGTCGCAAAATATACTTATTTGATGCACCGTTAAGTGGGAGATGGTGTTTCGAGGTTTTTTGAGCGATGAGGTCAAGTCGAAAATGTAAGAGGTGACCATTTAAGACGACTAATTGCTTCTATCATGTTACTCAGATTGTATCTTAATCCTGATGAAGTGTTTTACTCCGATCTTCCGTAATTTACCCATCCAGTCAGACCTACTGCATCTGGAACTGTACGAAGTTATTCATTGTACTGTCATTATATCGTTATCATTTTTATATCTGAGCTGCATTGTTTTTAGTTTTGTTTTAATTTTACCTATTCGTTCAGCATTGTTTGGAATTTCAACTTGTATATACCATTTTGAGTCACTAAACAGTGGTTTTACAAAGCTGTTCCCCAATGGTATATTTAACGCAGCTAATTTAAAACCAAGTGTACTGCTCAAGCTTGCCAATTTCAATATCATTTCGATCGAACAGAAGGAAAATTTGTTTGATATCTTATAAAACCACGCTGTGTATGTTATATCTGAGAAATCTACACACAAGATCACCGTAAAGTGGTACGGATATGCTCTATCAGCTCGAAAGATAAGCTGCTATTCGATTATCTATGGGTCATGTTGCATCTATCTCCAACTTTGGTTTGAGCGTCTTACTGAACAATAAAGCTGAAACTGCATCAGTTAACTGCTTCCCAAATTGAGGTCTTGATATGTGCAATTAAGTTATCGGGTTCAGTCCCACCGATTAATGGTAATGTGAACCGTCATATGGTAATCCCTTGTCCCACGTTGATATTGACGTATTAACTTCAGAAGGCCCATTTGGAGTAAGAAGTAGCTGGCAAGAAAACCTGTTATCGGACGGATCGCGACTCGACTTCAATTAAGAATGAATTTTATTATCAACTTGATTTCTTCAACCAAGTACTTTGGGGAGATATCACTTTTTAAGTAATTTAATGAAGCTAACATTTTTATCACATTTTTCATTTCAAAACCGATGCATAGTATCTGTCGGGAATTCACATAAAATAAGAGTGAACAGCTTTTGGTTTGTTTCATTCATAATGTGAAGAATTTTACTGGAACTTATTGTGAAGTTTCCCTGCAGTCTGGTATTATTACCTTGAAATGGTACAGTACCAGAAAATCGGACTCTAAAGCAGTTTGGCGCAATGTTGCTATTATTCTAATTTAAATAATCCTACTGGAAGTGAAGTCAAAAAAGTAAAGTCTCGTTGTTGACGAAACTAATCTGCAGAAATTGTGTTATTCCTAATATGAAATGAGGATTTTTCTGTTATTAGATGTGCCCATACCCATCCCGAAATAGCTTGGGATAATCTCCAACCTGTTTTAAAAATAATGGTAGCTACTGGTTTTCACAAAATTATCGATAAAGGCCGATGGATCATATAACCCTAGTGCAAATTAGTTGATAAACTTAAACGTATTTCTGTTAAATCAAAATTCCATAAAAAACAGAAGCGAATAAAGTGTAATCAGACAAAAGCGTGCTCAGGGATCTTGAGAGGCGATAAGCAACTAAAGAAACTGACATGGAAAAGTCAGTTTTCTTCGAAACTATTACAGAAGAGTATGCTTTAGTGATCCACATAAAACTGACCCGACGGTGAAACACTGAACACTAGTTCAGTTGACTCCAAACTACTATTCATCATCCCAATAGTGAGTCGCGGTGTAAATTAACCTCTAAACTTTGTTGAAGTTCAGAAGGTTGTAAATAATCAAAAACATTTAATCCTAATGAGCTACAAATATTCTCCATCGTTTCAATTCATATCCGATTGCTGCTTTGTCAACCGACTCGATATCCTCAATGAAGTCCCGGGGTATGGGACCCTAGTTATAATTCTCGATTCTATCAATCAAGAGGTCTTAAAAGGAATGTCTGGCAGACACAATACTTCAGCCAAGATTATACATCTGTTGTCGTATAAAAACCAGCGGTAAGCTATTCGGTGAAATGTGTACATCAATCGATATTTTTTTCAGGATTCAATACCTGGGAAGTTGCATCAACCATGTTGGGCTTATGGTTGACGAAATCTTGGGATACACAAAAGAGCTCAGTTAAACTTTGTTAACTTACCCTACTTATGGCACTGGTAACTGCCTATTAAAGGTGAGGCGCACTGCATCCCTCGCAAGTGATTTGGAGGTTAAATGTAGGGTCTTAGGTCAGAGAGCTGCATCAACTGATGGGGTTGTAAACGTCCGTGGACTCAAGTAGTTGAATCATGTATTACGCTTGTTGAGTCACCATCTAACCACCGCGTTGTTCGGCAGAATAAAAGCATGTTATAAAACAGCATGGCTTTATCAAAAAGAAAAATCAGTCTCACAAGTCTGGTTGTTCGTTTAATTCGCATAAGGATCCCGTCGAAGTTTGATGGGTAGTGAAATTATTGGTTGCCGTAGGGTAGGATGGCGAAGCATCTGATCACATGAGGTCTGCTGCATTGATCATATCTTTGATTAAACTTTAAAAATCTGGTTTTTTTTATCTCTGTCTTGTAACCTTATGAGGTTTTTCGATATTATCATTTACATCTTCCCTATGACATGTTTATGTGAGGTTTGATGGCTTTAACAGACATGCAGCCGTTTCGGACCTTAAGTTTTCTTAATCTTAATGTGAGATCGTAACCTGAATATGTTGCTTAAAAGCATTAAACATTGATGAGACAATTATACATTTATCTTACATGACCTTTTGATTTTTTCTGTGATGTGAAATCATATTTTAACGTTTCGTTTGTTTTCAGGAGGAGGAGAAACGTAAACAAGCAGAACTAGACAAAATACTTGAGGAAAACAATCGTAAACTCATGGAAGCAAGGCGCAGGGAGGTTAGTAATCAGTTCTTTCGGTGTACTCATGAGATAGCAACCTCCGTTTCTACAGAATATGAAGTAGTTGTATGTTTCTATTTCCAAAACACAGAAACCATGCTATTGTGTCATTGTTTTTCATATCATAACCCAGAAGCAACTGCAGATCAAAATGTAGTTTAAGAAAAACTTAGTCAAAAATAGATTAACTTGGTGGAAAAACCCATTCATTAAAGTATTGTAGTTATGACATCTATAAAGGTCTGTAGTTTGAATTGAGAAGTTAGATATATCAGTTTTCAATGAAATTTTTTCACTCTGTCGAAATCCTTACAGCATACGTAGACGTTTATGCTTAAATGTTCACTCATTAACCTTATGTTAATTTTGAAAATTTCGCATGAATTACTTCAAATGAACTCCTGATTGAATCTAAGCTACCTTTAATCATCCAAAAAGGTATTCGGAAAAATTCTGCATCTATCTTTTGTTACTACAAAGTAAGAGGTTCAATCATTTTCAGAATCTGTTAAACATGAAAGTCTAACTATGTACTACCAACACTACATAACTTGATGATTTGATTGAATAATGAAAAGCGAATCTTCACTAGTTTTTGTATACTGGTATGGCGTTTCACTGTTGCATTAAGTTCGTTATAATAGTGGTGGGCCCTACAATAAGGGATATAATACATGATTATATCATAGAGTAAGAGAATTCAAATTAAGTATCAGGCTTTAAAAATATTTACACACTCAACGATCTACAAAATAAAACTTAAATGTCTGAGGAGTAATGTACATGTATGAAGTCTCCGTAGTTATAATTACTGGTACTACCTTTTTTAACGGAAGGTGTCTTCACACTGCTCGACTTAGGTTTCTTCGTATTGCATTTCTCTTTCAAACTGAAATTCATGTACTATCTTACCTTATTGGTTGAGGTAAAGTTTAGTTATAATTGGCTGGAATTTTTTTAGGAAATGTCATTGTGACAAAACCATACTATGGAGACGTTTTTGTAATCACTAGCTGTATGTAGTCAATGAAAATTCAAAATGTTGGTTCAATATTCCGTTGAAAATAGTACATTCTTGTTCTGCCTTGTGATGTTAATTATTATGTATTCATTTCATTTATCATCAGCATTACTAAGCGAACCACACAAAAATATTATCATATTGTTATATAAAACGATGTAGAGATAGCGAGTAACTGAAGCAGTCAGGCAACATTCACTCAAGATACTCTCATTTATTTTCGTATGGGATTTTAAAGGTTGTTTCTAATTACAGTACAGTCTATTTGATCCAGGAGCTACAGCAGGTGAAGGTTACGGAATT